TAACGTTATTTACAAGCACCTTCAGCGTGCTTCCAGTGTAATATATCACCAGCGCAGTCTTTGATTTAATTGTTGCCGTCACTCATTCCTGTGCACTAACACATGTAGGAGTTCCAAACGCCAAAATACTCCTGCCTTTTTTCTGTGCTACATACCAGATTTTGTAACCTGTGTCAAGCTACCTCCAATGCTTACAACTTGTGAACAGAGGCCAACAATGAGCCTCCCCAGACACTAAATCATAATCTTCATGTTTTTCGTATTTCACATTCTAGCCACAGTTTCAACATCCATACCCCGTGACATTAGGGAAGGATAAATCAAGCAGGATGACAGCTCCCTTGTAGAGACTGGTACGGCCCTGGGATCTGCCACACCCAACACCCACAGCTTCTGCCAGATGTCTCCAAGAGTTTTGCGGTGTTAACCCCTTCAGGAGTAACTGAGGGCTTTGTGCTGAACCTTTCCTAAGTAACTGCTCTTTTCTTTTTTTGTACAAAGAGAGAAAAATGCGACATACCCTTAAACCAGAAACTTTTGACTAACTAAAAGATAGTGGCCTATCAGTGACAATTAGCAAATGAGTCCTTTTATTTCCTTAAAAACAGGAATTAAAAGTTAAGAGTTCACATTATACAACATTCCTTCTTTCACACCATGCTGTGGTCCCATGTGTTTATCTTAAAATTTCTAAACAGTTTTATGTTCACCTCTTCAGACCTAGGACTCCGCTTTACCTTCTTGGAATCAGAATGCCCATTAACTGCCCTTCAGCCAAACAGACTATTCAGGCCTTAAATCAACAGGATTTCTAATCCAAAATCCGTACGATAAACTCCACAACTGCTTCTCTGGGTTTGATCTGCCCCAGGGACATAAATTTGCATGCAATTTCTAAGTTTTGTGAATAGTCCCGGGGCTTAAAGTTGCACATATGCTTAAGTACTTTGTTCACTCTGGGTCTAAACCAGCTACTTTAAAATGAAAACAGAAGCCATGCAAAGAATAACATAGTTAAAAATAATTTTCCTCTGTAAATATTGTACCCAAGGAAAAAAATGTAACAGAATAAACATACTGATTCCTAAAAGCATGTACTGACCCAACAGAAGGTAAACAGCAGCCTAAAATCATCAGTAAGTATCAATGCATGCCACAAAAGGGCAAAGTCAAATTTATTTTTAAAAAAAAGAAAGAAATGGGAACTTTATCCAAGATTATTTGTTCCCTAGTGCAGGTAAAAGTATCTGTGGATATAAACAGCAACTGGTCACGGCTTTCAGAGTAAGACTGGCCCTTATTCTTCACCAAGTATATTCTGTGGATTTGAAAGCAGCTATTTAGGCAGTTTCATTTGTCTCTCCTTTGCAAAATGTGTTCGTGTCTCCAGTTTCTGTGTGGCTTTTCACAAATAGGTAACCCAGTAAAAAAATAACTCAAGGCTAGCGCTGTTGACAAGGGTACTCATGACTACTGCACTTCCTAAAACTACTTCTGATTTGCTTTTCAATGGTTTAGGATTCAAGTTGAGCATCAGTATTTCTTTAAACACCTTAAAGAACAAAGAAACTACATGAAAGTAATATACTTATTTCAGCTCTCACTGAAAATAAATGTACAATAATCAGGGTTGAACTTGGACAGAAAAAAATCAACATGCCTGCAACTACGTTTCATTTGGTGAACATGGCACTAAAGTAACTATCCATAGTTCACAGGAAAAACTCAAATACACTTCTTATAATTTAAAAGAATTGCTCATAAATATCAACACTGATGGGCTAAGGATTTGTTCTCATATACAAACTTTTCAAGACAGAAAATTAATGTTTCTTGAGAAGGATTTTTCCCTCCAGTTTGTTCTTTATACACGTGCTCTATGAGTTAAAGGGTTAAGTAACCATTATATTCTAAAGAGCAAACTGTTTGCCTTAGGGCCATCTCCTCCTTACTCCTGATGAATTGCCTGACACTCCATGTATCACACATTACTTTTCACTAGGAAGCAGCATTTGGTTCCAGTCATGGTGTAAGAACTGACTTTGGAACTATGAAGCAATAAGGGAAAGACCAAAAAAACTGAAATACATCATTGTCTACTAAACAGTCTGTACTTTAATTGTGATGCATAAATTTATAAATATGTTTGTTTGTACTCACAAAAGGGGCAAGAAGTATATACAAAGAAATTTTATGCATATTAAGATGAATAAAAGACCAACTGTGAGAATCTGAGTGACACTTTTCCTGACTAGAATGAAAGAAATGCTGATGTTCCTGAGGGCTTTGCACCAGAAGTGTTGCATGTAAGCTGAACACATGCACCCAAACCCCTGGCTCAACTCCCTCTGTGATCTGAGGAAAACCCGATTGCAAGACACCAGGGGTTCCACGCACAGCTCCCACTGTCAGTGCTTCACACCTCTGAATGATCAGTGCACCTTCCTCCCTCTCTTCTGTGGATGGGAAAATGAATTCTTCCTCACCACAATGGTACAGCAAGGGTGAATTCATACACATTTATGAAGCAGTAGAGATGGGAGAAACTCTGGACTGTGGGGGTATGCAAGGACTGAGCATAAATTTTAATCAAAATACTACTGTTAGATGAAGGAAGTGGCCATTGTAAAAACAGGTGCCATAACAGAGAGGAGAATACATGCCTGTTTTGAACACACTGCATGGAAGAAAAATAAAATTGTTTCTGCAAATTCCCCCCCTCTGTGGAATAAAGAAGCATGCTTAGGTGACAGATCTGAGGGGAGACAGGAAGGACAGGAATAGATGGGGGCCAATGCAGAAGGGTATAGAGCTCAGGAATGGAGATTTCTCAAACAACATTTGTCAGCAAACAGCTACAAAATCCATTTACAAAACAAAGGTCTGATCCCTCTTCAGTTGCTTAACTTAACAGTCTGTTTAATATTACCAATAAGCCCAGCAAGGTGAAGATTCAATGTGTGAAGTTCCTTTGACAGGCTCTGCCCTTTGAACCCTGTCATATTGCCATGAACGTGGCTCTATGAGTTTTACTGCAGTTTTTTGCTTAAATGATAAATAACATCAAAACACATGTTGAAAAAAACCCCAAAACCAGGCTGCAAAGTTGGATAAGAAATGCCAAACCGCTTGCAAGTACGTGTGCACCACAGCTGAGTTTTATGTCTTGCAGTATGACTATCCAGTTATTTCATTAAAGAGGACAAAAGGCACAGCAAAGATGCCCAATAAGTCAGCATTGTCCTCTATGTGTGCTGAGTGAACCATACGCCTGCAAGGCACATAATGAGAAATAACTAAATAAATACCATAATACAGAGGGTGACAGACTCAGATTGTCCAGGCAAACACCATTTCTAACGCAAGAATGTGGTTTTTTTCTCTTTTCCCTTCCCTCAAACGCACAACTTTCTACATCAGCAAGACAGTCACATATTTGGGATGGTCTCCGGCATTCATAAAATGTTCAAAACTTACATCCAGCTTTCCTTCCCACCTAAGAATTCCCTTCATTGAAGACTTCCAAAGCTATCTTTGGTATCTTGACTTTGAACAACGGACTTTTCTGATTTATCTGTCATAGGTTCTTGTCCAGCTTTAAGTTTGCACACATAGCCGACAGACTGTTTTGTGAGCTAAAATCCTTAAATCCTGCACATTTGTGTTTTTGATTTGGTATCCCAAATGGAATTAATACCAGTACTATTTATCTAATTACAATGGCTTAAAAATAGTGGAAAGGATGAAAAAAAACGAGAATGAGAATAGTAACAGTCAGTCACTCAATAGCTGAGGAAGTATTTTATTCACTCCTTTATTCACATGAGACGATAAGAGTCAGAGGATTGATTTTTTTGTTGTTGTTACCTTTTTTAAAATAGAAATATCCCTGCCAGATTAAAAAACACTTGCTGTTTCAAAACTGCTCTTCAAAGCAGACACACAGCAACTGAAAAAGTGACCAACTGAAGCATACATCAAATGACATTATGTAATTAAGACAATCTATTTCATCAATAAGCAGTTCAGTTTTTGAAGGCAGCACATGTGCTGATTTGGCTACAAGAAGAAGCGCAAAAAGTGTTCCAGGAACAAATACATTAGGACGTAAAGGAAAAAAAGGGATTAAAGCATTTTTGCACTTTCCTTGAGAGTTGCCTTTTTTGTTTGTAGAGATCCTTGTACAATAGAATAAGGTACATTCACCTATGAGTAATAAACACAGTCAGAAAGCTCAACCGGGTTCCAGACTCCTTCCTGGTAGTTGAGAAAGAAAAGGCACTCCCAAAACACAAGACGGGATGTTTGAATACAGAAGGAAAGCAACCTTAGACATTAACTCATAACACAAAAACACAGTGTTTGTGTAATTCATTGAAAACTCCAAATCTGAGAATTTACCTTAACTAGCAGAACGAGTAAAATCAAACTAGAGGGTCTTCCAGAAGGCTTCTGATAGCGAGCCTCTGATAACGCCATCAAGTTGTCAGTGACTTCGTGTATACACACATATATTTCAATATCTTCCTATGACCACAGAAACACTTCCCTTACTGCTATCAAAGGCTTTACAAGGTAGCAATTAACCACCATCTAAACGCGCAACGCCTAAGTGTGCTAATGGAAAAGGGCAAAGAATCGTGTCCTGTGGCAGTTACAAAATAGTAAACACACACAAAAACAAACAAACAAAAAACAACAAAGAAACAAACAAACAAAACTCGAAAAGTTAACGCCCGAAGCCGGCTCGTCCCTTTCCCGGACGGGGCAGCTCCCCGTGAGGCGCTGAGGGGCCGGGGCCGTGGCGGGGCCGCCCTCCCTCCCGCCCGCGCCCCTCGCGCTCCCGGGGCCGCCCCGGCCCCGCCGCCCCGCGAAGCCTTCGCGGCGCTGCCACGTGCGGCCGGCGGGGCGGTGCCGCCACAGAGCCGGGACAGAGCCCGGGCCCGGCTCCCTCAGGAGCGGGCGGCCGCCCGGAGGCTCCGGCGGCGCTTCTCGCCCTCCCAGCACCACGTAACCCCGAGGTCCCGAGGCCGCCCGCCCGGCGGGAAGGTACTCACGGATTCCATGCCCGACGGGGCCACGAAGCGCCCGACCCACGGGTCAGTCATGAGGTGGCCGGAGCCGGCGGCAGCGCCCGCCCTGCTCGGGAAGGGAGTGGTGCTGTCCCCCCGTTATTTAACGGCCGCCGCCCCGCGCCGGGGGCGGGTGACAGGCGGGTTTTGTCCCCTGCCACCCCCCGGGCCGCCCCCGCTCCACCCGCCGCACCTGGGCGCGCTTTGCAGCCCCCTCAGCTCGGGCCGCAGCGCGGGGTGCGGGCCGGGGAGCTGCTCCTCGGCCGGGCCCGGGGTGCCCTCGCCAGGCTGTGGGAGCCACTTCGGAGGCTCCACTTTGGAGGGTCCAGGCTTGGAGAAGGCCACGGCTCGGCTGCGATGAGGAGCGAAGTCTCTGGCAGGGAATGGCACCTGGGGGCGGCTCCGCAGAGCCCGCTGAGGGAACGTGCTCGGGCCCCTCTGGCAAGAGGTGGCCTTTTGCTGTCAGTGCATCTGCATAGAAAGAGTTTTTTAATAAAAAGTCTGAATTGGACTTCTGAGACGATGTAAAGTGGAAAGGATCCCACAGCGGTGTAAAACTTGGGCAAACGACAAGACAGCCTTTTTCTTCTCTTTTTCTAGAGGCTTCCACAGCTAAGAGGAGCCACCAGTGGTGTGAGGAACAGAAAATGGAGTTGTTGTCTGAATTCCATTATCTTCTCAAGAAGATATACTCATTTAGAAATAGTGACTCAGAGGTATGGGTCCTGTGGATCACTGTACATAAAACAGCGACTATTGCATGTTCATTGTGTGCCATATACAGAATATATTTGTCCATACTATATACACAAAACACAGGGAAAAAATATCTTAGCACCTTTTTGCCAAAATAATTAATTTGGGATAAAAAGTTCAGTTATAGAGTTTTGGAAGATCAGTGTAAATAGACAGGGTTACAGCTTTACAGTTCTATTATTTATTAAATAATATGTACTTAATATGCACCACTGTATATTATTTCATATAGCAACATAAAAATATAGTTAGGTC